TACGTTGCATAACAAACAAATAGGCACAAAAACACTATATTTTTGCCGGATAAGAATTTTGTAATGCTATAGAGTGCATTTGATGAGGTTCCTGAACCAACTCTCAGGGTTGGCTCGCTTACGACCAAGTGCTGAGGATAGAATAACATGGATTCAGCTCCCACCAATTCGCAACACCCGAGAACAGAACAAATCAATAACTGATAATGCAAATACACTAATTTAAAACTTAAGTTCCAGTAGACCTTCCAGAAAGATTAGTTTAGTGGTGCAATGTAATAGAGAAGCCCGAGAATAGTGCTAAAAATGTTTCGTACCTGTTGTCGATACACCCTCAAAAATTTCACTACCCACAAAACATGAAACACTAAACAGGGTCCTTAGCACGACCAAATCAAACTGAAGTAGATATTTCCCCACTGATGTGTCAGATCTTAACATGGACTAACTAAATACTACAACCCCATCAAAAATATCTGCTAAGTAGTTCCTGTCTGATTACTTCCGTTCAGATGCCTCAGTACTTTCCACCGTTTCTTTGTCCACTCCCTCACATATACAAGCATCAAGGGGTTCCGCTCTCTAAAATCAAGCGGTTTCGGGCCTCTTGAATCCAACATAATTCTCTCGGTTTTGATGAAATTTTACCAACACGTGGTGTTTGTATGAACTAACGATTCTTTTGTACTTGACTGCTTGATTTGAATTCCAAATACAACACGTTCACTTGTGCTCATTTAGTTCTATCTGCCCTTAATTGCGTTATTTCGGGGATTCTTAATTGTTTGTATAATAACTTGGATACTTTCAATTATCATACCACATTTCTAAAGAAATATACAAATTTAACTTTCTTTCCTCATTACATTTCTTTGAATGTTCCTTCTACAAGGGTGAACTCCTCTCTGACTGAAACTTGTGCCCATACTCGACTACAAACGAGTAACAAGGTAAAGGCTTCCAATTAAGCGCCAATTTTAATGCTCACTTGGGTAGCTGTGGTGACGGAAAAGGTTTTAATTAAAACCCTTTGAAAACATATTGCCCTGGTGGTCTATATTCCCCCACTTCAGTGATTACGTGACTTCATCTTTCACATTTATATTTTACCTGTATTCATAATTATGTGATTAGTTGTCTACCTACTCATTATATTTTATACACTGCATATTCTCGAACATACGATGAATCACTCTAGGTTAGTTTGACAAATGTATCACCTTTATTCTTTATCTACTTATCTTCGCCCACACAACTTGCTGCTTGAAAATGAATGCGCCCAATAAACTACCCCTGTTGCAATTCGTCTTTTGGCATTTTACTTCAGCATTGTAGTGACGTGATATCTCAGTGATTAATTACAAAATTAAATCTGAGAAACATGAGTATTGTACCGGAGTCAGGCTCAGATGATAAATTACCAGTAACTGTTCTGCCTAAATCTTAACATGACTTTCCGCGAGGCAGACCTCATATTATGAACTCATCAACTGTTTGAGATAGGTTGGTTTTCGAATTAGGGTGTAGTAATATGGTGCATATTTTCCCCTCAAGCTTCTGCGAAGCATTTGACAGAGATGAATACCACGTCCTATGCTGTAAACTAAAATCGACAGGTAGTATTGGGTATCTTATGAAAAGTTATACAACTGCACCAACAAGGACTTATCCTCACCCAATAATACTGAATTTAAAACTGCGATGATGATCGTTGATAGTACATCACCCAAGTACTTTCTTGTTGATCCAATTATCTTGCACTTCATCAAAGAAAAAATCTGAAAATTGCTTTTTGTCATATCATTTATGTTTCCTCTTACTGGTATTCCACACCCAACTAAGGATACTAACTTCTATAGCTTCTTTCTTATATACTCCCAGAAATTTCGAAGACGTTTTCAGTGTTTGTTTAAGACCCCATCGAGGAAAAATGCACACATTATTTTAGACCACTTTAAAATGGACATCTGCTTCATGTAATGAGTTCAATATAACAATCCGAAACAATATTCCCACATAAAAATACAACTAATTCAGCTCACTTGAGAGCCTTAATTTATAACCTGTGTAGTGTGAGAGGATTAGAGAAGAAATTACTATGTCCTCCATAATCTTATTCACCTAAATTCATCAATCACACGTTTCGAATAGAAATACATTCAAGAGGACGTCTATGCGTGATAGAACACAGTGCTGGTATAAACACTTACGCAACCATTTTCGCAGCAAGAATCAGTAAACTCTGGAGCCTCTTAACGAAAGTGTTAGTAACGGTACCTTATGTAGAATCTTACGATGTATGCTCTGCGCTGAGGGATATAAAACCAGGACTTACTCTTAAAGAGCTTTGATGACTATTTACTAAAGTCCTCCCTTCTCAGATTCAGAAGACAGATAACAAATGCCACTCCTTTCCGTATCCATGAACACTCCCTTACTACTAAGGTGTAGATCCTAAAGAACAAAGACTTGACTACCTGTGCATAGAGCAGTTTGAAAGTGTTGGAGTCAACTTCGCGGAACACACGTACACTGGAGGCGACAACTCAATTGAAGCTCGGTTCTACAACCTCATCGATAACTTGGGCTTATATGAAAATGTGAGGTCGGCAACTCGTTGGAGAAACAGTCAGACACCATCGCGCTTAGACTGTGTATTCACTAACGAAGAATTCCTAGTCGACAACCTCTCAATCCTGGCTCCTCTGGGAAAAAGCGATCATGCCGTCATAGCCTTCAGTTTTGTCATCAAAACTAAGCTAAGGTATCCCAACAATAATCTGCGTTGGAATTTTAAACGGCTGAACGTGCCAGCTCTACATGACTATCTACAACAGGTCGTTTGGGATGTTCACCCTCAAATCGATGTGGATGGTCATTGGGACTTTTTACTGCACACGCTCTTATGTGCTACAGACCATTCAGTTCCTCAAACGGTTCCCAAGAGCTTCAAGCCACCTACAGTAATCAAGAACCGTACCCTTCGCCTCCTAAGCCGCAAACGGCACTGTTGGGCGGAATACAAACGAACTAATAACGATGGAGCGTATAGGCAATACAAACATATCAGGAACACATGCACGAAGGCTATAAGAGAAGACAGGCTTCAGTACCAAACAAAGCTTATGGACAAATTCGCCTCTAACCCTAGAAGCCTATTCCGTTATGCAGCCTCTCTTCGTCAAGCCAAAACAGGAGTTTCTCAACTGCTAGGTCTTAACGGCCCGACCAACAACGATGGCGACGCCGCTAACCTTCTGGCGGCCCATTACTCTCAAACATTTCAACCGGCTGACATCAACTTTATTGACGACAGTTTCATCTCCAACTCCACAGGACTTTCTGAAGTGGACCTAAGCGCTGACTTGGTGTTCCGGAAATTGCAGCACTTAAGACTTGACACTTCTCCTGGCCCGGATATGGTTCATCCTGCCATACTGAGGGAGGCAGCCTCAATCCTGGCAACGCCGCTTAGCGTGATGTTTTCACACTCGCTTAGCCGAGGCAAATTACCGGAAAACTGGAAGTTGGCTCACATCACACCAATTTTCAAAGGTGGTCGACGCAATGAACCTTCAAGTTATCGGCCGGTGGCTCTTCTGTCATTACCTTCAAAACTCATGGAGTCCCTGATATGCGACGGTTTAAATGACTATCTACTGTCCTTAAATTTCTTCTCACCCCAACAGCATGGTTTCAGGAAGGGTTACTCCTGTATAACCAACCTGCTGACTGCGGTGGACAAATGGACAAGCATCCTCGATTGCAAGGGAAAGGTTGACGTCATTTACCTTGATTTCTCAAAAGCTTTTGATAAGGTTAACCACTTATGTCTTATCAACAAGCTCAAACGACTAGGTATCAAACCACCTCTAATCGATTGGCTTACTTCATACCTAAAAAATCGACACTTTAAGGTTAGGGTTAATTTCACTTTATCTCAGGCTATGGAATGTCCTAGTGGGGTCCCCCAGGGCTCAGTACTAGGGCCTCTTCTCTTCTTGATCTACATAAATGATCTTCCTCAACAGGTAACGTCAGATTTATTACTTTTTGCCGACGACGTGAAACTTTGGAGAGAGATACGCAACCAAGACGATACACAGGCACTTCAGGATGATCTGACGCGACTTCAAAGTTGGGCAGACGATAACGGACTTACCTTTAACACTTCAAAGTGTAAAGTAGTCCATCTGCGACATGTAGCAAACTACAGTTACAACTTAGGAAACTCCTCTCTAGTAGTATCCCAAGTCGAAAAAGATTTAGGAGTCCTGGTGCCCCATGACTTAAAGTCTTACGCTAACTGTGACAAAAATGCCTTCCGAGCAAACCTTGCACTGGTAACGTTGAAGCGCATTTTTGGACAGTTTGACGGACGAACTTTCCACACAATCTTCAATAGTTTTATCCGTCCCCATTTAGAGTACGGAAACATAGTACTCCCTCCCTCACTCCAGAAGGACAAGGTCACTTTGGAGCGTATCCAACGGCGAGCCACGAAATCAGTTCGAGGACTCAAATCTAAGCCTTACGAAGAACGCCTCCGTTCACTAGACCTTTACCCACTAGAATATAGGCGTCTTAGAGGTGATTTACTAATGGCTTACAGTATTCTTAACACTTCTGGACATCCTCTTAAACACCTACTTAAGCTTAGTTCGAATAATAACCTAAGGGGTAACACCCAGAAACTGGAAACACAACATAGCAAGACGGAATGTAGACACAACTTCTACTCCTTAAGAGTTGTCAAAAGCTGGAATTCGCTGCCGGCCGAGCTAGTCCAAGCGACTTCTCAGGAGTCCTTCAAGAGGCAACTTGACCTATTCTTAAGGACCAAGGACAGCATCACATTATGATTTACCAATTTCTTTTCCTTTTTATTGTTAACATACCTAGGTTCCTGCCTGGAGGATTTGGTGATCCCCTGCTACTAGACACGGAAGCCTGTTAAGCGAAAGCTTCTTCTATTCCGTCCACAACCATCTGAACCATTTGAAGACCGCGAGTTACTATTGTTGCGTCACTGTACTAGGTTTGGTGTCCTATTGGTTTGTTGATATTCTTCCGTTACCTGAGTATTTTAATTATACTTCTCAGCTTTTAGTAACAGTGGGACTCATTAAGTTTACTTGCAAATTTTCTCAATCTCTAATAGTTCAGCTTATTTGTATAAATTGGTTTCCCTGTGTAGACGAAATTGAGACAATTGTGTGACGAACCCTGGCCGACCATTGGCGATAACTACATTGTCCGGTCTTGTGGTAGATAGCTTTGAGTCTCTGTAACTAACGATTTCCTTGGAAGAATAAGTTACCTCAGGCCCAGTGACATTGTCAGCCATATCCTAATTCAGTATACTTTGAAAGTAAACTTCTTCGGCATATCGCTGTGCGGCTTATTTAGCCCCAGCTAATCCGCAATGTACTGAACGTCTAATTTTCCTCATGTATGATTCAAAAGGAAAGGCAGAGAACGACTCTAAACTTCCATGTTCTATAACGTTTATTATTTATTTGGACACATAAATATTGCGACAAGAGGGCACCAAATATATATGCGCCACACACATGTTTTTGTGTGCGGGCTAAGATACTGCCCGGGTGCCCAGACCGAAGCAGATTCTACAACGTGCTTTAAACTATGCACATTGTAGATTAATTGGTTGTTACCGTAACACTTTTCGTAACCTAATAAGAAGTTGTTAAGATATACCCGAACACTGTTTGCTAATGTGGTGTACAACTTAGGGTGCGATAATAAATATATTGACAAGGAGAGTATATATATGCTCAAAAACGGTTCGAAATTAGGACTAGCAGTTAGTATTTGTAATTATGTTTTTCACCACAATCTAACAACCATACATTTTACCTTCACTGGTTATAAAAAGCCACATCAGGTCCATATCTACGTTTAAAACACTGAACTTCTTGGTTAATCTAGCATTGTATAAAAGGTTCACAGTTCTTGTGATCTGTTTTAATCACGTTCCTTTAAATGTTTTTTACTCACTGTTGGCTTCGCCCTGTATTCATTACAAGGGAAGGATATAAAACGTCATAATCAGTTTGATATCTAGGCAAATGGAATTAATACCCATAAGTTTAATAGTCCTAGAAACTTTTGCAACCGCCGTACTACAATAAGCGATGATTTTCAACTCCTAGCTCCATAGGGGGCAATTCAGTTGTACAGTGTTTTTTTACTAACTCATTGATCAGCATGCATCATAGTACAGACAATTATATGATAAACTCCTACCGTAATGCATACTCTGCCCATAGTGCTTAGCATTTGGAATTAAATATTGTTAAATACTTTCGAAATTCAAGGGAATGTTAATGTAGTGACCCATATACTATCTCTGGAGTTGTTATAAAGTGATAACACTGAAGTCCACAAACTTGTATGGTGTAATATACCCTGGTACGGCCAAAGGTGAGCAGAGTCCACCCCCCTCAAAATGCTCTCATATGGCCGCGCGTGTGCAGCTACTGCTAGGGAAGTCCTACTCACTGCCTTCTCGCGGCAGGGTTGTTGTTTGCGAAGTTGGGAGTACAAGAAGTGAATGTCCGGCACTTTAATCTGGTTGGCTCACCTAGGGAGGTTGTAAACCCTGATTGCAAACCAATGATGCACATGGGTTCCTGGGTCCTGAGGAAACAAATGGCGTACGAACCTATTGTTGGTCACCAACTACCATGTGACTGAATCTCCTTATGTTGCTCCACCGCTTTGTGGACTAGACCTCTAGGTCAAAAGCTTGAGGAGTGGCCTAAAAGAACCATGTTCTTCGGTTTGGGTGCTCGGGTAGTATTCTAGACCCCACACAAATCGAATGGTGTGGCACATATCTATTTGGTGCCTCCTTGTACAATGTTTGTGTGCCTAATCACAAGATTAATCATCTGCACCTCCAAGTGTTAAATATAAGACCCTCCAGTTTTGCACACCACGCACAAAAGTTCGCTTAGCTCGTATCGTTTAGTACTATTTCTCGCCTACGTGGATTATTCTAGATTTTGGAGAGACTTATTGATCTATTACTTTTGAGTCATTATCCACACATACATTTGGTCTTGCTAGTTATTCTTCTATAACCCTGATTGTCTTTATGTATGGGCGTATGTGTGCTTGTGTTTATCACTTACTCTTCGTCACATCAGCTTGTTTTTCTGTGTGGATATAAATCTTGAGCTATGTCTGACGAAATTGACTTGGTACGTCTGTTATCTCCGATCCGCTTCGTTAATGGATGTATGGAATATATGTATCCAGAAATATAGTATCTGACTTATTTTTTTCCACTACTTACCAATGTGAAGTAAGTCGATGAATATTTATTAGATTAAGTGGGATATATGTTTTGTTATCATCATTATCAACCGTTCATATGGAGCCAGATCAAAGCCTCAATAAGTCCTTTTCATTGTATTTCTGTTTGTGACAAAATGACTGCTTACAAGAGATTACTCAGGTTTCACTTTGTATAGTTATCAATAACACAGTGTCATATAAACCAAATAAAGTCCAAAAACTGAGAATATCAAAATGTATCAGATTGTCTGATCTTTTAGGAGATAGTATTTATGCGTTTTCTTTCATTTAATGGACAGAAAATATAATACAACTGATACGAAATGTGACTTTCCTCTAACAAACTCACCACAAGATAGTTGTTAGTTCCTAAGAAAATTGCTAGTCAATAAAACTGCGGTGTTACTTCATTTTTATATTTCCATGAAATCGTTTTCGAAATCTCGTGTATGATTTTGCAATATTGATTTTTTGCATACAAGAGAGAAACCAATTAGATCCACTAGTTCACACTATTAGGTAAGAATAATAATCAATTCTGTTTTGGTATGTCAACTAGGCTAATTGATTTAAAACCATAATGCACTTTATTTTGATGCTACATTATCAGAGAACCTCCAATCGCTTCCAAGAATCTCCAATGTTCAATGGAGAACGAATAAATTCATTTAAAGAATCATAACTAATTATTTGAATAGTACCATGTTAGCTTATATTCAAACAAATATACAAGCATACCATTTTTTACCCGTCTGGTTTTATACTAGATTTGATGTCAATAATGTATTTTAAGTCTGAAAGTACAGCAACATATAGTACCAGCTCAATGCTTTAAGCTGTACTTTGTAATTAATTTTGCCAAATTCCAAATAGAAATTAAATCGTTACTTTTAAAAACCAGGGATCGATTGGTGTAATTGTTCCTTTAACTCAAAAGTGACCACTTCCTCAAACTAACATACATTTGATCTGGTACTCTTATATTTAAATGTTCCGAATTTATTCTCCTTTCGTTACTTTTTCAGATCATCCCTTTAATTGTCTGAAAACTAATATATCTTGAAATATATATATAGATATATACTCAGTATGGCTCAGGGAAAACTTAAAGTCAAAACCAAATTACCCAAAGGAGTAAAATCCGGTAAAAGTGAAAGGTCTTTACAGAAACAATCCGCCAAACCACTGCGCAAAGGGACTCGTGTTATAAAACCAAAAAAAGAAAGACTAAAAGAAGCTCATGAAATGAAGAAACATATGGAAAAATTGTTAAAAAAATCAGTGGAAAAACAAGCTATTGAGAAAGTGTCGTCTTGTGAACCCCGTTCACTAAAAATTGTGAAAGAATAATAAATTATTAAGAATGTACATACTCAAGAATCTTTGCCGTTTTGATTTTTAAGATATACTGGTAATTTAATCATACATGGGGATGCAGCACAATATTATATTGTTACTCTCTACTTATGTCTCCAGGAATAATTTCGTTTGGCCCAAAATTTTCTGAGACCAGTTGTTTGCTCACATTTTGCATGGTGAACCTAAAGTGTACAGACATCATAGTGCTACTAGGTAGAAGCTTCAAACAAATGTAGGGTCTCTCAAACTCCTCAGATGAAAACCTGAAAAGATTTGGCATGTAACTGACATCCGTCAAATATAAGATGGTTTACAACTGATCTACACAACGTAGTTAAAGAATAGGGACTAAAGTTGTTGAGCGAATAAGTCACTTTACTTATTCAGCGAGATCTGTCAACTTTATGGAGCGACAAATACCTGCATCTTATGAGTTGGTAGATAAGTGCTTTAACTCAGAAACCACCACCTTGTTAATTTTTTCTTGATGTACTAATGTAAAATGCTACAGCTTAGTCTGATTTACATTTGTCAGGATGTACGTTATTTATAACTTGGTTACTTTTCCTATGCACATTATTCATGCCACTGAGATACTTCGCCTAAAATACGGTTCTCTTTGTTTATCAGTTGTAATGATTATAATTTATTTTAACCAAATATGGTGGGTCACAGTTAACTTCGTACTCCACTTTCTTTTCAATTAATGAACGCATAGATATCTACTTTGTTGCCTGTCTGGTTAGTTGGACAACACAGGTGAAACTATTAGACAAGAAAATGTAGTTAGGAATACCCGTTATAATAATTTGGGATCACGTCTTGACACAGTTGATCATTAAGAATTGCAAGACTATTAGGTTGACGTCACTCATTTTTCAGAAAGTTACGAAATGGTCAGGCGTAATTCTTAATTTTAGGGTTTGTATGGGTAATTATTATTTCCCCAATGATTTTATGGGTAAATTGTTGGGGTTTCGCTATGGGAAGGAATTCGAAGAGTGTAAGCGTTTTTTTATCCTTCAGATGACTGAATAGAGTGTTGGCCGATAAATATAAGGTAGCTGAGTGATGGCTTCACGCGAGACTGGATTATTGACGTGACTCCCTGAATGAACTGATATGAAACAAAACCGCTTTCTAGGATACTGGGTTTCTTATCTAGACAAATAATACGATAGTATTCAAATTAGTAACCGAAAAATAGAATAGTTCCTAATAATAAATGACTTGCGAATATCAGCTTTTGGCTTATTTACTCGCCAACGGACCGAGATGACTGTTATACCTGGTTCTCATAATCTTAAGGGTGGATGTTTGACTTTTTGTCTGAGTTGTCCATGGAGATAGATCGTGTCGAGTGAAAGCATTCCACTCCGATGGATAGTTTCTACCTGTATAGTACGAATAGCCCTGAAATTCTATAATCTAGGCTATTAATTAAGATATAAGTCTCTGTAGTCGGATGAAAGCACTTAAATTTTTCCACAATCTTTATCTTTGAAATACGTGAATAATAGCGATTTGAAATCGTGACTGACTGAATTAGTATTGTGAAGGACTGTGGTCCGACTGATCTTCCAACTAAAGCCTCACTTCAAAATATGCTATATCTCCTTTAGTACCGGAGTCTCCATTATGCGAAGCTCAATAAGTAGTGAATCTATGACGGAACTATCCAGAATTGTCTGTCTTTTTACTCATCATCGTTTTAGGCTTTGTTATTTTATTAGACTAGAATAGTTTTATACCCAGCACTTAACACTACTCCATCCAGGTATATTTGACTACCAATAACAATCTAAAACATTATTGAATTATTTTATATCTAACTAAACAACTTTAGAGAAAAGAATGCCTTTTTTTAAATATAAAATCATATATAAAGGTGTTGAACTAAAACCTTTGTTTATCATTAGTATAAAATGAAGAATGTTGAATATTCTACGGTCGCCTACTAATGGAATGAATTTTCTGTTTATATATATTGTTATTTACTATTTCTAATTTTGGGTATCATAACTGTTTTTTCCAGTTTGTATGCAACTAAATCTTCACAAGTTATTGCCACTCTTCTAAAGCCTTGTATTTTTGGCTTGTTTCAACGTTTTAAGAATAATAAATTGACTTGACTTTATCATAAAAAGTGGGGATGTTCCAACGAAGAAAAGTTTCTTCTCGATGAAATCATTTACTTGGATTGTATGATCGTATTTATAGTCATATCGTTATGTCACTAATAGTGGCACTAAAATTTAATCTAAATTACTTAATAATTAAGGAGTAATAAGAACGAAATAAACGTAAGTAACAGAGATAGAGAAGATAACTCTTCGCTTGACGATCATGAGGAAGATAAAATATATGAACCGACACATGTCCAAGGATAACTTGTAAATTAGCAAGATGTTAGGACTACGGTAAACTAAAGGATTGGTGTGGTGTTTGTATGAAATAATGATTCCTTTGTGATTGTCGGATGCTTGATTTTGAATTCCAAATACAGCACATTCGTTCGAGCTTATTAGTACTTCTTGATCCAATTGCGTCATTTCTGGGATACCTAGTTTGTATTATAATTCAATTACTTCTAATTATCATAATTGGATGTACCACTTTTGAACTCAAAGATGACATTTGATTGAATGGATGACAGTAAGTATAATCATTTTTAATTTCGTCCATCGTGATCTAACTGAGGATATACTTCGATCATTTTGTGGTATTTACTTTATTCCTTTTAGTTGATTATATACAATTGTTAGTTTCTTTGAATACTTTCCCTTGAAAACCTTTACTAACAAGAATTACCTTTATTGAAGATTACATTTCATCTCAATTTCAGCATTTTATCTTATTATGCTGAGCCTTCTTTTCCCAATTATAATTTCCCTATCTATCTTTATGATGAATATTCAAACCCTTAACAATAAAATCATTGTTGGTTTCCCTGACAAAAATAACATTTTAAAGACGTTGTTTATTCTACTTCACTGTCACCATATTTAACAGAATTTCATTATCACTGTTATTATAATTATTATCATCCTGAAATATAAATAAATATTTGCGATTGTACAGCTTGAAAAATGGATTCGCCGAAAAAAGAACTCTTCACTGAGTCGATTTTTCTTATTTTAAATGTGGATCAAACAGAGTTTTTTGCCAACTACCTAAAACCTAATGGCATCTTAACATAATGAACGGTAATCTCGCGCCACTTATAACAGTACCCACACGACAACCTAGTCGGTAGAATTCGATCACCATTAAAGCAATAGACAAGCCTGACGCTGATCATTTCCCAATGATCAACCAACTGCACTGATCAACATCACATTTGAAATACTATTGAAAAATTAGAAAATGCTACAAATATTTGTCATACCAGCATTGGAATCCTCTTTCAATGTTCACCCATAGCCCTATAACATAAACTATGTACAAATAAGACTACTGAAGAATTTCATAATAGATGGAAGGATTTCCGACAACTCCTTTTTGGTAGTAAGTACCTCAATCGAACTAAATTCGTGACAGTTGGATGATACATTTACCAAAGGGTAATTTTATAAACATTTTATTTTTACTTTGTTATTTGTCGGCTGGGTATCCAAGGTTGAGGTGTCTGTTCATGTGGAAGAGGAAATTTTTCCTGCTGTAATTAAAAAATATCAATTACAACAGACAATGACATCCAGGAGCTCTGGATAAAGTCAACAATGGCTATCCAAACGAGACTGGGAGCGTATAATATGGGAGCCACTGTGTCTAAGCGAAGATTCAAGGAATGAGCAAAAATCGAGGGTAACTGTTAAGCGAATGTGTTTACAATAATGAATGAATATTACTATTCTCTGTGAATACTTAAGAACGTTACACGACAATAAATATATGTCACATACCATTCTCAAAAGCTACTAGAAATGAACTAGTTACTGAATATTAGTAAGTAGTATAAGAGGAGATCAAAGACAGAGCAAACGAATTTAACCAGCTGAATCTGCGGATACACTGGTGTAGAAATATCATATTTATGAAAATAAGTAAGTTAGTAATTGAAGCAGATCATTGCCAATGAATTATAAAACTTAATCTATTGTTTGATTGAATTGCTTGATGGATATAAAATTCATTTATAGAATATTCGGCATAACAGACCCACCACACCAAATAATTAGTCATTAATGATTAGCAAATACCTCTCAAAGGAATATCCTGTCAACTCAATCAGACACCAAATACAAACGAACCTGACTAATACCTTCGTAACAGTTAATAAATCCCCAAAATCAATAGCACTGTAAGTTTTTTGTGGTCCGTGGATTTGACTCCAAGTAGATCGTATGATGATTGTTGTTGAAATGTTTATGTCGCCTATTCTCGTATATAATCATCGACTTAAATCGCATTAGTCATAACGGAATTAAATATGTCGAATAACGGGAATGGACTTGTGAATACATATATTTTGTATATAAAGTGAATGGAATAGCGAGAAAAGAAAGGACGCCGGGTGGAGATGACTGGTAAGCCAACTCCTCTTTAACCAAGCGTTAATCAATATTTATAGTTACACAAAAGTAAGTTACAGACACGTGATGAGTAATGGGATAAAAAATGTACACACATCTACGCGCTCATATAAAAACAGTCAAGATTGATAAGCGAATAATTAACATGGTCAGAATGTGACTCAAGTAGGATGAATAGAATGGGGTGTTCGAAAGCTAGAATAAGGTATATGGGCTTAACATAATAACCGACACTACAAATTCTTCGATATTTGATGCTGACCACATTAGTTTTGATGAACTCACCTATCTGAAGGCTCTCGGTCACGCATCCGCACCAGATCACGAGTGGGCACGCTGTGCTCAACTTCTCCTACAACCGTTAGCCAGCTTAGATCAGTTACTTTTCGATATATCAACAGCCTGTAGTGACTCACAATTATCACGAGAACACGACTGGTTTAATAAAAACAATTATTATTATAACCAACTGTACCAGTGT